GTCATCCGTGGCTGGGAAGGCATCACAACGAGACCGAGTGGTGGCCATCCGTCGTTTATAAGAGTATTCTTAATTTTTATCTTTAATATTTAGTGGGCTGTACTCTTAATCGCATAAATTCCCAACAGATCCATCAATACGAACTGATTCTTGGCACCTCCTTCCGCCGAGCCACGCTCACGTGGGGAGTGGTGGCCCACCGGATCCTTATCAGGTGATCTGGTCCCCAATTAGTAAACTTGGTATAAGATAACGATCTTCGGAAAAGGAGCACCGTCGCAGGCCCTTACTCCGAGCCGTTCTGAGATAACCTGCCGATGTATCTGTTGAGATTGGTGCCTTTAAGAATAATAACTGTTTTTGATTGTGTTTTTTTTTTTCGCCGTATAATCTTTCAAGTATCTTTCAGTCATAATCGCCGCACGTACTCGCATCCTCTACAGAATATTCAACTGTTCCGTGACCCAAGGTGTTAACAACGTGATAAGGGTTGCGTATGATCAATAAGGAGTGCGGTACTGCGTGAACAATATTGAGTATAATCATTCATTAACGTTAAGGTTTTCTTAGCATAATATTTGCATGTTTTAACGACTCTCTCTCTCACTAAGAACCATCGCGTTATGCGGGATCCATGTGCCGTTGTCAAAGTGAAATCAGACAATCGTTGATGATACTGTATTGATGCCGTATTGACGTTCCGGGATTGAGAGTTCGCATACTATATCATAGTTAAGGTTGAATTAGTAATAAATTGATCAATACAGAAGTGGTTGTGTGATTCTTTCCTGAAATCTATGCATAAGATCTGCTTCTGCGTTGAGATTTGAACTTGGTGACCTTAATAAACACACTAATACATACTCAGTAAATGTTAAAGCGATAACGGGGTGAACCGGGGTCTGGTTATCATAACGACTTGCGTTATCATAATTACACCCACTCGCATAATTAATACGATTACCTATCGAATTGGCATAATTAAAATGTGCGTAATTACATAAATTAACATATTTCCGGATAATTACACATTTGGCCAAATTTCATTTAAATATTATTATTTCCACTGAATATTCATAACCCACATATACAACATAATAATTTCACCCACGCACGCATACAACATAACAAATTTTCATACCCAACATATACAACACGACCCCAGTGGTCAGGGAGTGGCTCCCAAGACGTGGTGGGGGGGGGGGCTAATGTACATCGCCCCCCCTATCCCCCCTCCAATACCCCCCCGCCCCCTCCCCATATTAACCATCACTAATCACACACAAACTATGGTTTCAGTTTGTGCCAAGTCTTACAGCATATTCGTTCTGTATGTTGACAGAACTCGGCCCCGTCACAGTAATGTGGAGTTTCCACCATTGCCTCGGGGCTGTGAAAAGGACGTTAGCACCGGCCCAGCGTTCGCTTTAACAAGAATACGCTGGACCTGTTGAACGTAATTGTTCTTTAGAGTTTTACAGACATCTTTATCTGTGTGTGTGTGTTTTACCATGTGGATTTACTAGCAACCGTCGGGGTGGAACGCCAACTTTCTATCGGCTTTAGCGGCACACTCCACGGCTCTCGAATGACTCGAGTCTTCAAGACTCGGCGAGGCTTCTCTCTTATACTGGTAGGAACATCTGGTTCCACCAGCCCACAGGGGATTATTGTGTCCGTCCGTTCGTCGTGCAGGGAGAGGCTGGGTGGGGAGGGTGGGGCTGGGTGGGGAGAGTGGGGAGGGGCTGGGTGGGGAGGGTGGGGCTGGGTGGGGAGGGTGGGGTGGGGAGGGTGGGGAGGGCCTGGGTGGGGAGGGTGGGGAGGGTGGGGGGGGCTGGGTGGGGGGTGGGGAGGGGCTGGGTGGGGAGGGGCTGGGTGGGGAGGCTGGGGAGGGGTTGGGTGGGGAGGGTGGGGCTGGGTGGGGGGTGGGAATGGTGGGGCTGGGTGGGGAGGGGCTGGTCACCCCGTGGTGCCCTTATAAAACGCAACGTTTAACCTTCTCACGCCGGCTTGTGCCCGCCCTCACAGTCGGGCATATTTGCGGAATACACCACGCCGCCGTTGACCCTGCAGGCCATTGACCGAGCAACCCAACGTTCCTACCAGCTCCCTCCGCAGGAATGTGTTTATTATCATCACGGGCGGCTTCGAGGGAGTGCCGTGTTGCAGCGGGTAGCAACGTTTAGAATTTCTATTCCAGAGGAAGTCGCCTCCGTTCGACCTCCCGGCGCGGTAGTTGACACAATGGGCCAGCTTCTTAATTACATCACTCCGCCTCATGGGTGTACGATGCACATGGGTGTACATGGGTGGGCGATACACTGGCTTTGTCGATCAGCAGAAAGTTTTCAATCAGTGTACAGAGTGTTCCAGATGTCTTGTGACCCCCCCCCCCCCCCCCCCCATTTAATTATCTCAAACGTAACATTTATTTCAAGTACATTTAAAAATGGGTGAAATAATTGTAGGCGTTAATTAATTGTGGGAGTCACAAGACATCGGGACCACCCTGTACGTACATTATATATTGCCTGCTATGCCACGTGGGTCGAAAACGTGGACTCTTGATAAGAGAATGAACGTGAAGAGTGCGCAAAGAAGCATGAGAGAGGGAGATGATTGGTGTTGATGGGGTAGGTGTTGATGGGGAAGGTGTTGATGGGGTAGGTGTTGATGGGTAGGTGTTGATGGGGTAGGTGTTGATGGGGTAGGTGTTGATGGGGAGGGTGTTGATGGGGTAGGTGTTGATGGGGTGGGTGTTGATGGGGTAGGTGTTGATGGGGTGGGTGTTGATGGGGTGGGTGTTGATGGGGTGGGTGTTGATGGGGTGGGTGTTGATGGGGTGGGTGTTGATGGGGTAGGTGTTGATGGGGTGGGTGTTGATGGGGTGGGTGTTGATGGGGTAGGTGTTGATGGGGTGGGTGTTGATGGGGTAGGTGTTGATGGAGTGGGTGTTGATGGGGTAGGTGTTGATGGGGTGGGTGTTGATGGGGTAGGTGTTGATGGGGTGGGTGTTGATGGGGTAGGTGTTGATGGGGTGGGTGCTGATGGGGTAGGTGTTGATGGGGCGGGTGTTGATGGGGTAGGTGTTGATGGGGTAGGTGTTGATGGGGTGGGTGTTGATGGGGTGGGTGTTGATGGGGTGGGTGTTGATGGGGTGGGTGTTGATGGGGTGGGTGTTGATGGGGTGGGTGTTGATGGGGTGGATGTTAATGGGGTGGGTGTTGATGGGGAGGGTGTTGATGGGGTGGGTGTTGATGGGGTGGGTGTTGATGGGGTGGGTGTTGATGGGGTGGGTGTTGATGGGGTGGGTGTTGATGGGGTGGGTGTTGATGGGGTAGGTGTTGATGGGGTGGGTGTTGATGGGGTAAGTGTTGATGGGGTGGGTGTTGATGGGGTGGATGTTAATGGGGTGGGTGTTGATGGGGAGGGTGTTGATGGGGTAGGTGTTGATGGGGTAGGTGTTGATAGGGTGGGTGTTGATGGGGTGGGTGTTGATGGGGTGGGTGTTGATGGGGTGGGTGTTGATGGGGTGGGTGTTGATGGGGTGGGTGTTGATGGGGTGGATGTTGATGGGGAGGGTGTTGATGGGGTAGGTATTGATGGGGTGGGTGTTGATGGGGAGGGTGTTGATGGGGAAGGGGATTGATGGGCCCTGGACGAGACTAGCCACGGAATGGCAGCCAAGGAGGGAGACACCGAGCGTGAATGTGAAAGCACTCAGATAATCTCGTCAAACCAAAATAAACTTTGAAAGACTGCGACTGAAACACAAACTAAATCATGTGATGGTCCTACAGACGGATTGTGGCATCGCTGCACCGTGGCCGGTTTAGAACGGCGTGAAGAGGCCCTCATTCAACAGCGGGTAGAACATGCCAAACGACGGTACTGAGTCTTAATTATGGAGCTTTCGTGACTGCAGGAATTATTCTTTGGTTCTTTCGGTTAAGTCACGTCTAAAGATAAAATAATAAATTAAAATAAAAGCATATTACGACGTTTCGATTGCAACACAAGCAATCATCATCAGGCAAAAAAGAAAAAGCAACAAAAATCTAACTAGAAAACTATAGACAGACATACAAGCAGATAGACATCACAAGTACACACAGAGAGAGGACACATATCGGCACAAAGAGAGGGGTCGTTTCTGTGACGGTCCTTGCCCCCCTCTCTATATTTAAGGGACCGTCACAGAAACGACCCCTCTCTTTGTGCCGATATGTGTCCTCTCTCTGTGTGTCCTTGTGATGTCTTTCTGCTTGTATGTCTGTCTATAGTTTTCTAGTTAGATTTTTGTTGCTTTTTCTTTTTTGCCTGATGATGATTGCTTGTGTTGCAATCGAAACGTCGTAATATGCTTTTATTTTAATTTATTATTTTATCTTTTGACGTGACTTAACCGAAAGAACCAAAGAATAGGACGGTACTGAGCTTGTATTTAAGGGCTGGTTTTTTGGAATTTTTCCTCACTTGATGCAGTCATTTTAGCTGTGACGGCCCCACCTGAAGACGGAGACTTGTGTTGCCTCCGAAACGTCGTGATTTATTATTTTATTTCTATTATTACTTTTATTATTTATATTTTTTACCTACGTGACTTTACCGAAAAAGCCTAAGAAGATGGTACTGTCATATTTTTTTTACATTAAAAGTTCCCAAATCAACTGCTGGATGAATGTTTTTTTTCGGCGATCCCATATTTATGTTTGTGACCACACTTCGCTCACGCCGCGCTGGGGTGATGAGACATTTGGTGAACTTTGTTTACTCGTCTAGACGGTTGAAAGGTACCAACGCAGCCTCAATTCACACCGCAAATCAACTTTGACACCCACCACCCCCACATCACTGAGGCCAGTTGGTACGCGCCGACTTTTCCGTTAACGCTCCGCTGCAAACGCCGAAACCATCTCGCAGAATCCCCCCCCGCGCATTGAGTGCAAATGGACTGCGCCAAAGTGAGCAGGCGGCGGATGGATACAGAGCTCGCCTATAAAAGGACCCAGTCCGCAGCGCCGCCCTCAGAAGGCGTGTCCACCCGCCACGCCTCGGGTCGCTCAGCGTGGCCGTGCTCGTTCCCAAAGCTCCCTCACAACAACAACAACCCCCCACGCACCCACCGCTTTGCTCGTCCCCCGAGTTGACATTTTGTAAACAAACGCCTCGGACCCGAGCAAAAACCGCCCGTCATGGGCGACGCTTGTTCGCCCGGCCGAGCGGCTCCGTGGCGAGAGGAGGATGCGCGTTGCCCCGAGGGCGGCAAAGCGCCCTCGGGGCACCGGGCAATGGGAGCCTCGGTAGGCGCCACCGTAACAGCGACGGTAACAGCGGTAACAGCAGCAGCAGCAGGGGGCGAGTCTGGGCTGCAAGCCGTGCAGGCGATCGTTGTTGACGGACGGCACGTGGAGGGCAGGCATTTAAAGAACAGGTCCCAGCAACGGCAGCATCCGTTGGAAGATGGTCAGCAGATCAAGCGACGCGCACTTCAACATCCTCATCAGCAGCAGCAGCAGCAGCGGCTTGAGCACCAGCATGGCCACAAGCAAAGCGAAACGCAGGATGAGCAGCAGGAATTTGAACAGCATGAGCAGCAAGCTCATCAGCAGCATCCACACACCGTTGACTCCAATCCGCTGGAAATCCAAGGTCAAGACTTTGGACGAAATTCCGGACCCAAGCAGCATCAGCAGCATCATCAGCATCATCAGCAGCAGGGCCGAGGAGGCGGTGGTGGCAAGCGACACCGCCGGAGACCGTCGCGACAGAAGCGCGCACGCCGCTGGAAGCCCTTCACGAAGCTGTCGTGGGACGAGAAGCGACAACTCGAGGAGAGAGACGCGCGTCGCGCCGCACGCATCCGCGCCGAGATGGAGGCGAAGGGCTTCCCCGTGGCCCCCTACAACACCACGCAGTTCCTCATGGAGGAGCACGACCTCGGAGAGCCCGACCTCAAGCCGCCGCCCGGCTGCCGCGGACACCACCACCACCACCACCACGGTGGCTACCATCGCCGTCGACGCCGCCGCAACTCGTCGTCTTGCAAGACGGAAGATGAAAGTTCGGGAGAGGCACCCGCCGCTGTCATCGGCAGCAGCAGCAGCAGCAGTGACGGTGACGGCTGCTCTGGGGACGAGGGTGGAGGCACCTGGGCAGGTGGGGACGACGCTCCCCACAGCGGAGCCTCGGATGGAGGAGGAGGTGGTGGTGGTGGTGACTTCTTGCTGAGGGATTTCTTCGAGACGTATGAGCGATACCACACCGAGAGCCTGAACGCGATGAGCAAACGCGAGCTGCTGCAGGAGTACCTGGAGCTGGAGAAATGCCTCTCGCGTCTGCAGGAGGAGAACGCGTTGCTGAGGCTGCGTATGGAGGGCGTGCAGGATGGAGGGGGAGGAGGAGGTGGTGGTGGTGGAGAGGGAGGGGAAGAAGATGAAGGGGGGGAGGGTGGTATTGATGGAGGAGGTCACGGCAGTGGTGGCGATCGTGATGGCAGAGGAGCTGGGAATGGAGAGGATGCCCCTGGTGGTGGTGGTGGTGATGGTGGCGATGGTGGAGGTGTTGGTGGTGTTGATGGAGGTGGCGATGGTCTTCAGCGAGATGTCGCCAGTGGAGCAGAAGCAAGCGGTGCCCGTAGAGGTGACGGCCACGCTGAGCATCTTGGAGACGGTGCAGATCTCGCCGCTGGACGTGACGATGGTGGTGGACACGGGGGTCCCAGCGACAGCGACAGCAGCTCGACCTCGCCCCACGGGCAGGTCGTCCCCTGCGGGACCCAGCAGGGGTCATCGGAAGTCCATCGCATCGTGCAGCTGGAGAACGAACTGCAGAGGCTGCGAGCCGACAACGCGAAACTCAACCGGCAGCACGAGTTGCTGGTGCAGCTCACGGCAACGGCTGGACTCGGTACAGAGGCCCAGATGGCGTAGTTCGTGGGTTGGGGTCAATGGGTCAATGGGTCAATGGGTCAAGATCTAGATGTCACCGTGGCCAAAATCGTCGATGCCACCACCACCACCACCATCCCGCAGCTGCTGAGCGACGAGACACGAGACGATGGACCGATCAAGTTTCTGCCGGAAAAAAAGGTCGCTGGACTCGTGGAGGCAGTGGGTCAAGAGGGCCCCTTGTGGTAAGGGTGACCTGGGGATTCTGTGGGTGGGAGAGGTGATCAGAAGCCACGGGATGGATGATCAGAAGCCACGGGATGGAGGAACATTTGGGCGCGGGAGTGTCGCAATCCTAAAACGAACGCGTGTCTTTGTTTTTCGTCGTAATGTTTCGTCTAATGTTTTCTATTTTCGTTACGCGCGCGTGCGGATAGTTGGCGGCGGTGGTGTGGGGGGGGGGATGGTCAAAAAGTCGTGAGAATGACCATTTATACATTTGCTCGTTTGAATACAACATTTGGGGGGGGGGGTTAAAATATCTTAAAACATGTGCCAATTGAGCAAGAGACGTGGATGGCTTCTGCCGTATTCTCTCGATTATAAGACGTACTTGCCACTCATCCACCACCATCACCTCTGTAGTTTGTAAATCCGGTACTTGTGTTTAATTCGATTTGTAATTTCACTCGTGAGAACGGGGACACAACGTTTGGGACGCATCTTAAATTTGTATTCCTAGAGATGATCTGTAATCCTGAGAATACGGTAATTTGTTGACGTAGCGTTGATCGAGAGTTAAAAGTGGGGTGTTTGTGACGCCTGGCGTCGATTACAATGTTTGATTACCCCGGCAAGTTTGTGTAGTACACGTGTTGTTGTATATCGACAGCCCCTTGCCCATCCACTGCTGGATGAGTTAAATGTTTACGCCGAGTCGATCGTGGGGATTGACTTTAGACTTCGCCGGGATGGTCAGTAAAGGGCTGATTTGGTTTAAAGGGCCGAGGTGGTTTGACGGCTCTGATCCAGTTCAGATGTCGACTTCGACACTGATGGTTCGGGATTTATGTTGCGAAGTACATCGGGGAGTGACGCTAATCACTGCGCCACCGCTCTGCACCCAATGCATCTCTTGTTGGTCTTAAATGTATGGAAATTCCACATTCCAATGGCGGGAATCGGCTACATTTGGACAACCACTACGATGATAAAAATGTGTTTATTTTATCGACCCCCTCTCCAGTGTCGAATGATTGGTTTGAGTCGCCCACCCATATGTGTACTATACACATTCGTGTACTGTATTTGCGATACAGTACTGTATACTGTTGTGTGTGCAGTATGTTGCGTTTCTTATTCTCTACGAGCTTTTAGCGCAGCACGTATTACTGTACAGCCCTTTAAAAAAAATCAATCCACTGCTGGATGAAGGCCTCCCCACGCAGGGATGGGTCGTGTGGGAGGGGAGGTGGGTGCTTATATTGGTCATACTTAATGCTTGCTGGTCAGTGGGAGCTCGTTTAAAGGCGTATGGGGAGAGCATAGCCCATGGGAGCAGAGTACAAACCAACAGTGGAATTCGATGCACTGCCCTCTGCTGCCCACAGCGTAGCAGCCTCTATCACCTGCGGCAGCGTCACGACGTCGAGGTTGGCTTATAACAAAAATAAATTCCAGCCATTGTCATCAATTCACTGCTGGATGAGTGCTACGCTGCATGACGGACATGTGTTTTTTTTACCATAATTCACGCTTGTCAGAGTAGGTTTGTGTGGGGAGGGGGCAGCGTTGTATATATATACAAGGGCATAAGTTGCATTTTGGGGAGTCTTAAAGCTACACGTGTACATACGTGAGTCGTTGAAATGTGTCCGGGGGGTGGGTGGGGGTCCTGCGTGTTTGTGTCAAGGTGTAGGAGATGATGGGGAGAGGAGTGTGTGTGTGAGTGTTTACACAGTCTCGTGATCTGTGCCAGCCGATTTCGAGCCCAATACCCCGCCCCCATCATCCCCAATGATTTTCTCGGTTATTTTTTTCCAAAATAAAAATTTCGTGTGAAATAATGAACACGTCCCCACCCTCTCTCTTCCTGTTGTGTGTCGTGATCAATCAACTGCTGGAGGAAGACATTCCTTGACAAGCCGTCACCACCTCTCACGGCTCTGTGACACAACAATTCCAACGTAGCGACATCAGCTGTTTCTTTTTTGCTGCTCCATCTCCTCGATGGGTACGTCCTGATCTTGGGCGCGTTCCATTCCGTGGTTGTCGCCCCCCCCGTCATTTATTCTTGACCACTGGCCAACATAACTTCTCGTCGTGACGTGTCCCATGTTTCTTATGTCTCTAACTGTTGTGTGTGTTGTGTACGTCTGTTGAACTTCTTTCGCACCGTACGTAGCCAAGCACGCTGCGGGAGGGACTACAAACTTAACATCAATAAGTAATATTTAAAAATACTTTTTTTTAAACACGCTTTAATGAAATGTACCGTACTCGTAATGGCAAAACTCCACGACTCCTATGAAGCAGCCCGAAGCTTGCCATAACGTAAGGGGCCGTGGTGATTTACAGCCAACGTTAGTTGAGCGTGGACAATTAGACCCAAGCCGAAACATAACATGTAAAAAAGATGGTTTAAAGTGTTTTTATTTTATTTTTAATGATAGAATATAGTATTGTCATCAGTATGACATAAGTATACCAAGTTTGCAGTAGATACCACATTGGGAAGTGGGTTAAAATTGAGTTACAAGATTTGAGGATACGACAACAACAACAGAGTGAGTTAAATAAAATCGTGTAATAATAAAAAGCAGTTTCTAAATAAATGAGTTAACCATACGCGCATATCTCCCTGTTAATCAGCCTTTGTTCCATATTATTTTACTGCAGTATGCGTATCTTTATAATACACAGCTGTGACGCATTACATTATTTAACATTATAAGGACACCACAGTGACGTCACGGCCGTGTATGATTTTTTTAAAATGTCATGAAGATTCAATCAACCTCGTAGGACAATATAGAATCCATCTGTGTGGAGTGTTGCCCCCTCGATCTGCGTGGTTGAGTGTTCTCCGGTTTCCTGAATGATGTTGGCAAAGCATCCCAATGTAGCAGCACCCTCTTGAAAAAGAGTATTGAGACTCAGTGAGGCTATCTTGGGTAAATAAGTGGCATATGTCCATAAAGGTTTTTGGGTTAGATTGAGTACGTATAAATGTGTCGTAACCCTCTCTCCAACACACGTGACAAACCTTACTGGCTGTGTTGGGTGGTGGAGGGTTACGACACATTTATATTTACGCAAACTAACCCAAAAACATTTATGAACTAGCTTTTTTGCCCGTCCAAGGACGGGTGTATATTGCAGTAAATCTGAAATATTCAATAGAACAATTGTTTTAACGCTGTGGGCTCACGAAATAGATTTTTCCAAGACGGAGGTACTCTGCAAACCTACCGGCTACCTTCAGAGATTTATTCATGAAGCCATCCAGATATATAAACACAGACACAACTTTAACCAAGAGGATGGGTACAAACTGAGAAATCATTGGAAGGACGTTATTAACCAGATAAAGTCTTAACTGACTGTGATGTTTCCATCCTACCTGCCTATGTCAGCTGTTATACAGTTTAACACGTGTTATACTACCACGTGGCATGACAACCGAGGCTAATATTTACATAATTCACAGGTCATTTAGGGATGTAAATGTACGGCGCAATAGCCACAATCCTTTGTCGATCCACTACTGGATGAAAGTCTGCCGTATTGACAATGGGAGAGGGTGGGTGGGGGGTTATGTGACTATACTTCACTAGGGTGGTCAATAAAGGCAGGCCAGGTTCAGATGTCACTCGCCACTGACATTGGGCGAAGTGAGGAATCAAAATACTCTTTGGTTCTTTCGGTAAAGTCACGTAGGTATTACCTACGTGACTTTACCGAAATAACCAAAGAGTATGGATCCCTGCAGTCACGAAAACTTCAAATCAAGGAATCAAAATCTCAGGCACCTTGGTTCGTCGTGCGGTGTGGGACCTCGGGCACCACCACTCACCCCTATTGACAAGGTCTGCGCCAGTGGTGGACATTCCACATTCTTATGGCAGGGTTCAGTATTTATTTTTAGACAAACTTGCATTTCCACATAACGGCGATAGTCTTGTGGACCCTATACGGATAATCATAGGAATGTGCCCGATTTCATGAGATCTCAGACCCTAAGCAGGTTTGAGTTTGGATAGTGCCTGGATGTACATTCGCCATATGTTCAGCAGGTGCTATAGGCTTCAGAGCGACGTGAAGGACGGTGCAAAACAAATCTGTGCTGTACTTCTATGCTCCCACGTCTGCTGTCCCTACCACCGACCCGCACTGACTACAGCATGGTGAAGTATGGTCGAATAACCCACACGACCCACATGCAGCGTGTCGCGAGGAGGGTGGCACTCACTCATCCAGCAGTGGATTAACACTGACACGTGACAGCTACTTGAGCTCTTACCGATTCACCGTTTAAACTGTGCATTGTTGACATGAATAAATGTAATGCATGTCGAAATATATTTAATCTTTGCCATTGCAATAGTTACAAAAACACATGAGATCATCTTTGCGTGCACATGATACACCATTGGTTCATCATGTTTCAGGCAATTTTCAGGGGTTAAGAAATTGGTCAATGAAGAAACGATTTAAATAAACACTACCAAAACAACTTCTTGGTTCTTTCGGTAAAGTCACGTAGAATGGATATAATAAAATACTAAAAATAAAACATAATAAAATAATTCTCACGACGTTTCGACTTCTCGACATACCTGTTCTCCACCTGAGGACGGCTACTTGCGTTGTGGCCGAAACGTCGTGAGAATTATTTTATTGTTTTATTTTTATTATTTTATTATTACCATTCTACGTGACTTTACCGAAAGAACCAAGAAGATGAATCCCTGCAGTCACGAAAGCTTTAAATTGAAATTTTACTACCAAAACAAGTTTGACGTTACTGCCGGTATACCTTCATCATTATAATCATCATCATGAGATATGGTCTATCCACTGCTGGATGAAAGCCTCGGCCCTGCGATGCCTACAGTCGACCGCGTCCTGGTGCGTGAGCTCATTTCATCGCTTCTCAGTCTCCACGGTCAATGACCTCTTTCATAATCAACGTTTTTGGGTTTAGATCGCGTTATTTATAAATGTGTCGTAACCCTCCACCACCCGACACGGCCAATCAGTAAAAAAAAGTGTCACGTTGACAAAAGACAAATAGTGAACTATTTGTCTTTTTTACTGATTGGCCGTGTCGGGTGGTGGAGGGTTACGACACATTTATAAATAACGCGATCTAAACTCAAAAACGTTGATTATGAATAATATTGGTCGCGAAAGCCTGCTACGTGTTAAATGTCCTCTTTGTTCTCTCGTTTGGCCACCACTTTGTCGTAATTCGCCTCGACCATCAGCCATCGCCCCTTCTATATCCACGACAATCCCACTGGGATATTTGCACAGGGTTGGTGTACGGTGATTTTTCTGCAATATTTTGCTGTCTTTTCTTGGATTTTCTGTTTGCACATAGTCACTTTAAGATGTTTTCTTGTTCATGTTTTTGTTTTTTGTTTGTTGCGGTTGCACCCGATTCAAGAGCCGAATGTCTCACAGGGCTATACCTAATAAATGAACTTTGAACTTTGACTTGTCCTGCCCAAGCACATTTACATTTTTTTCTTAACAGTTTGAGTGATTTCTTTAGCTTGCGTTTTGTTCTGCAACCCACGTGTTTCTCCTTCCTGTCTCGGTGTAATTCCGAGCGTAAGCGTGCATCTCTCCCTGTTTCTCAACTTTTGTTCCATTTCCCTTGTCAGTAATACTTTATAATTCACTGCATCATCTCTCAGCAATAATACTTTTTTTGGGGGGGGGGGGGCACGTTCAGGGTTTAACGACACATTTATATGTACGCGATCAAACCCACAAAAAACGGTATTATGGATGCTAATGACCCATAGAGATACATATAGACACAGATGATACATAGAGACTCATAGAGATACGTGTTAAACTAATCAACAGCCATGATCTATCCATTGTTTGAAGAAGGCCTCCCCATGCAGTGTGGGTCATGGTGACGAGACCCTTCTGAAAAAAGAGCTTCACCACGCTGGGCTGGTGAAAGGGAGGGCAGGACTGGTTGATGCATCACTCGCCACTGATGTTAGCCGTTGTCGGAAATCAAACTCCGACGTCTGAGTTCAGAAAGCAATGCACGAACCACACTTCCACGGCTCCACCACGTTTGCTTTCATGTTGTACTCTCGCCTTCATCAATTTATCTCTATTTTTGTATATAGATCTTTGTTATGTGTACATATATCTGCAAGTGTTGGTGGATCACGGAGGAATTCGTAAAATTCTCAAACCAGCGAGGCTGCTGCGACGTGGTGGCCGGATGGCAGCACAGCAGCTGGGTTCATGAACCCGTTCTGTGCGGACCGTAGAAAGTCCACATTGACAAACACCATCGCGGTTTCATCACACGTGCAGCGCAACTCTCTCATCGTTATCACAGATATCGGCCAAACATTACTAAGTAGCAGGCACCTCCCAAAAGTGCATCTTGAGACTCGGTGAGGCTTTCCCGGTTAAGTAAATGACACGAACATATTAACATCCTGTTATAATGACGCTATTACATAAACACTACACATAAGGACAATGACCTATTGTCACCAAAGCACCAGGAATGTGGCCGATTTGGTCAGATCTCAGATGCTAAGCAGAGTTGAGCCTGGGTCGTGTTTGGGTGGGTGACCACTGTGCTGACCACAAAGAGGTTGTCATAGGTCTTTTGCGGGGCTCCGTGCTGGGCAGGAGGGGTAAGTAGTTCTGCAACATTGCTGTGCTGTACTTCTATGCTCCCCCAGCCGCAAACAACCCGCACTGACCATCGTGGGGAGGTATGGTCTCATAATAAATCATCATCCAGCAGTGGATTGACAAAAGAGCTGTACATGTTAAGTGATTTCAAATGAACGCCACGCACACGCCACTGTGCAGTGCGTGTTGATCTGTGCGTTAACCACGTGGGGAAAAAAACATTACAGATTTTTGCCCTGGGTTAGTGGTGGAAAGTCCATGTTGACATGACGGGGCCGAGTCATTCCATAGTTAAGCAAAGTGATAACTACTTTATCCACCCCGAAAGGCCTGATGGGCTTCGCAGGTAAACATCGCTCATCCAGATACCATATATATACCTCTAATGTGTTACTTGATTTAAAATCATATATATCCATTTATACTACAAAATCGTAGACAACTTCACCGACCTTGACTGAAAATTTGGGACTTAAATAACATAACTATTTTATTTCAAATGAACGTATTATGTAAGTAAATAATGCATTTAAAATACAAATAAATAATATTTGTAAACCATAAAACATTGAAACTCGGAATCTTAAGATGGGCCAGGGGGCATTTAAACCGAAAACAGCCCAGGCTGCCCACGTGGTCCCAAATCCCCTCGCTCATTGGTCAAGAGAATCGTACAGCTGATAATTGTTTTTTTACCCTTCTATCTGGCAACAAAACTGACACCTTTTTTTTACAAGGAGTCATGTTAAAAAAAAGGTGTCAGTTTTGTTGCCAGATAGAAGGGTAAAAAACCAATTATCATATTTTTACTGGCAAATGAGGTTCCAATGGTGTAATCGCACAGCTGTTGACGATGACGCAATGAGGCCGCATGCTAATCGGGCTCCATATGTGTAAGGGACCCCCTTGGGGAGTGCAAGAAGAACTGCGAACCGGTTTCATATTCAAGTGTCTCATCAGCAGCAGTCAGGCTTCCACTCTGCTGCTGATGATGATGATGAGGAACTGAATGTTGAAACCGGTGGGGAGTTTTGCTGGCATTGACCCCCCCAATGCCCAGTGGGGCTGATGGGATTTGTACAAAAATGTACGTTACATTTAACGTGGAGAAAGCTGTTGTATAATTATCTCTTGGTGTTATATTCTTCACAATCACGCTATTGATGACTGCGTTTCGTACATTTTATAATTTAATTTTTCGTGTAAATGCGTGGTTTATTCAGTCATGAGTTTTGATTACTTAAATGTTTGTTTTTCAATAGGTATTAGTGTAACTTCACATGTCAATTAACAATTGGTAATCGGGAAAAAAAGTTTAAAAAGTAAATTCTCATCCACTCCCTGGCATCTGTGTGCTATGAAGCAGGGTCATTGCCCGAAACGTCGCCTATGATATACATTGAGTTTTTTGTAACTTTTCAGAGCACGCGGTTTTTATTGACCAATGTGTTGAGTTTGTTCATGAATTCATGTCTTAAGCGTATCAGTCTACGTGGCTTTCCACACTTAAAATTATCCGGCAGAAAATATATTTACGGGATCCAAACCTCTGCACTTGTTTTGACCTTGTGGGTCTCATCAGCATTTTGTTGTGATCATGACTACTTGGTGGGCAATGTTGACAATGCAGATCGTTTACACCAGACATTGGTGGTGGTGGGGGGGGGGGCAGTTGGAGCTGCCCCCCTCAATAATCAAGCGACGTTGGAGAGCGACGTTCCACCAACGTCGCTCTCCAACGTCTGCGACCAAACGCCAACGTTGGTCGAACGTTCGCGTGTTGATCGGGGGGGTGGTGGTGGGGGGGCTGGTGGTGGGGGGGGTCTGGTGGTGGGGGGGGGCTGGTGGTGGTGGGGGGGGCTGGGGGGGTGGTGGTGGGGGGGGTGGTGGTGGGGGGGGCTGGGGGGGTTGGTGGGGGGGGGCTGGGGTGGGGGGGGTTGGTGGGGGGGGGGCTGGGGGTGGGGGGGGGGCTGGTGGTGGGGGGGGGCTGGTGGTGGGGGGGCTGGTGGTGGGGGGGCTGGTGGTGGGGGGGGGCTGGGGGGTGGTGGTGGAGGGGGGCTGGGGGGTGGTGGTGGAGGGGGGCTGGGGGGGGTGGTGGTGGAGGGGGGCTGGGGGGGGTGGTGGTGGGGGGGGGGTGGTGGTGGTGGGGGGGGGGGCTGGGGGGCTGGTGGTGGGGGGGGGCTGGTGGTGGGGGGGGCTGGTGGTGGGGGGGGGCTGGTGGTGGGGGGGGCTGGTGGTGGGGGGGTGCGGACACGAGAGTGTTGAGAGCCCCACGTAAGATGGCGCTGTGCCGACTCGCGCTCAGCCGCCAGCGGTGAGTGGAAGGCGGTGGCGATCAGAGAGGTTGTTGGTGATCGAGGTTGGTGGTTGTAGTTGTTGGTGGGTTGTAGTTGTTGTTGGCGGTTCCTGAGCAGCCCGGCGAGCCCGAGTTCTCTTCCCGCTCACGGCCACGCCGACACCCGGTGACGACTCCCTGGGGGCCTCCCCTCGCCTGAGGTCGCCTCGGCCCCTCAAACGAGTTGCCTCGGGGCCGCGGTAGTTGGTTAAAAACATCGCCACTGGGGGAGACAAAGGCGGCCGGGTGTGCTTGCTTGCTTGCTGGCCGTGCCGGCAGTCTGTCAAGGCTACACGGAGCAGGGAGGCAGGAAGCTGTGAGAGATATTTATCCTTTTGGCGGCGCTGGTGGTGACCGAGGAGGGAGGAGGCCATGGCGGTCGGGCGAACGGCGCTTCGGCTGCGCTTGGCGATGGCCGTGCTGGGATTCCTCTTCGGCGTCGCCGTCTTCTGCGTGTGGATCTTCGTGTACGAGCAGATCTGGACGGCCACGTTGGGCGGCCTCTCTGGTGAGAGACACGCGGGCGACGACGGCGGGGACGAGGGGCCTGTGGGTAGGGAGACGGCCAAGGGACACAGCCTGGATTCGTGCCCTGATCGACGTGGGGTGGTCGGCGGGGGATCTAGGCAAGGGGGGTCCGGAGTCGATTACAGGTTTACAGTCAGTGGTTGTTACGTTAAATTTTGATTTAAAGCTTTCGTGACTGCAGGGATTCATCTTCTTGGTTCTTTCGGTAAAGTCGCGTAGAAGGGAAGTAATAAAATAATAAAAATAATAAAACATAATAAAATAATATTATTTTATTACTTCCCTTCTACGTGACTTTACGTATTCTTGGTTCTTTCGGTAAAGTCACGTAGAAGGGAAATAATAAAATAATATTGAAGAATAAACATTCTCATGACGTTTCGACTGCAACACAAGCAATCATCATCATCAGGTGTGAAATCCACAGCAAGAAAATTGTGTTGCAGTCGAAACGTCGTGAGGATTTTTATTGTTTAATATTTCTATTATTTTATTATTTCCCTTCTACGTAACTTTACCGAAAGAACCAAGAATATCAATCCCTACAGTCACGAAAGCTTTAAATACAAATTTGGTTGTAACGTGTGTTTGTTTTGTTGGTCCAACTTCTTTCGCACCGTCCGTTAAACAACGGTGCTAATTGGAGGTGTGGGGTGGTCGGCCTGGGCAGCTTCTCTCTGGGCAGTGCTGTGGTTTACTGACAGGGCTGTGGGCAAGGTGACATGTGTCTATCATGTGTGGGGATGTAGTGGTGGTTGTGTTGATCCATAATTAACTTCACCACCACGATGATCAGTGCCGGCTGGTAAAGGTGTGGGAGCCTAGAAGTGCAGTACAATGGATTTGCTGCACTGCTGCCCACCGCCTAGCCCAGAACTACTTTGTGTTTAGTTTGTTGCCTTTTTCCACACCTCCGTTTGGCTACGTACGGTGCAAAAGAAGTTCCACGTACTGTACTGTACGTGGCGCGTTATGGTTGTGAAGGGCATTCAATTTGCATTCCTGCCAACCCCATACGGGTACCTCGTGTTCTTGTACAGGGAAATTGCATGTTCAGGTCCAGACGTTTCACAATACGAGCAAATTTTTGTATTTCTATTTGTGTTTCTCCCTTGTGATGGCACTTTGTGCGATGAACGTTGAGATTTATCGGGGCACGGGGTGACCCATAAGGTCTGACTTGGTCTGTAATAAGGTAGGGCAATGGTAAGGGGTTGAGAGGTATGTGAGTGTTGTGCATCCACATATCAAGCAAGCAGCAGCATGCAAGATCACAGACAGTAGTAGCATGATAAGTAGCATCATTGGACACCAATTACCAAAATTAATACATTAAACAGTTTTTGTTTAGTAACATTGTTTTTGTTTATTTGTTTGTGTTTCTCCCTTGTGATGGCACCTTGTAGGATGAACTTTGAGATGTATAAGGGGCACGGGGTCACCAATAAGGTCTGAATAGGTAGGCACTGATAGGGGGTTGATGTGTATGCAGTTGTGCTCAAGGCATGATTGACAGGGAGGCGGCATGGATCGTAAGATGTACAGCACAGAGATGTATGGAGGCAGCGCAGGGAGGGATAGGGACATGCCAAAGAGATCCATGGTCGGGGTGGAGATGATCAGGTCCAGGCAGCAAAGGGCAGTGCGGGAAACAACAATAACAACAACAATAACACCAACAACAACAAGTGATTGGCTGGACAGCCTCTCTGTGACCAGTGCTAAAGTTTATTGACATGTGGCAGGGTTCAGGGACAAGATTAGAATTAGGGCAGGAAAGATGACCTGTTCCCACTGTCATTTAATGTGAGGGATCGCGATGGCTGTGTTTACAAAGCCGATTATATCGACTTGCGGAGTCATACAAACAACCTTGATAATTAATCCACAACACCTCCGTTGTCCAGAGAGTCAAAGTTTGGTGACGATAAGAGGATGGAGTGACCGATCACTGTGTTTTTGATCAGTCTCCATGTCAGGTCATGCCCTCTTAATAACAAACGCATTGCTGAAAGTAGATTTTGTTTGGCAAGGTTTTTTTTGTGGGTGTGTATCTCGTTATAGTGCCATCTGCGTTGGGGATCTCGAATGTGTCAGTTGGAGTGACAGACATCTCTTAGTACATAACATCAATAGTCACACGGTGACGGAGACATCAGTGTGTACAGTATTCTTTTCAGACTTTTATCACACTGTTTTTCAAGGACGACCGCCACCCAACTGTTATGCAGTTGAGTTATGGACTCGGTTGAACGGCACAAGTCCTGAAATACAACAGATGATGAAAACAAAACAAATGTGACCATTTTTTGTCAATTCATATGCTCTTTATATAATTCTGAAATTATCTGGTGCATTCCTAAAAGTGGCGTTTTAAGGCATTAAACCCAGGTCCCACTTCAAAAAATGAAATCTCATGCCAATGGGCTCCCACCTGGTAACAGTTCCTCTATCTCTGCTACATCTGGTCAGCTGTGTTTGTGCGACCACGTTGAGTCATGTTGCCTTCACCAGACCCCTCCGTGTGAAACAATAGTTTCGTCAATAGACTCTCACTTGGTTATAAATAAGCAATTTGATTTATTGAGTGCCGGACAGAGAGGAGGGCCCGCATGTGGAAATAGAAACCCAGCCCGCAGGCCTTCTCGATTGAGCTGCGTTACAGCTCGTTGAACAGGCCAGCTTGTCACCGAATTTGCAGACCCTAGGTTTTTTAAAATATTTGTCCTGATGCTGTAAATTTATGAGCCAAGTGTATTTAGTGGAATTTGCCACATTGACACGGAACAACAACGGTTTACTTTGTGTGATAGAAACAAGAACAACAACCGCCATTCGCCACTAAGTGGCGGTGACGTCACCACGACGCTTGTGTCAGGCCATGTGCACCTTGAGACCACGTGAAGTGTCGGAACGCCCGCTGGCAGGAGGTCATGGGGCAGACCCAGGTGCCACGGGTCGACTTACTGAGATGACCGAGATGACTGGCTGATGCACCACCTGTGCCCCCTACTGTACCAACTTGTTGTGCTTTAGCCACCCGGCGCTCCGCTCATTGTTGTGAGATAGAAACATATACACACACTCACTCGACTCCATCCAATGTGGTGTTTAATTTAAAAATGGAGTCTTCAAATCTCTTTAAACACGAAACTCCAATGCTGATGTCACAGTCATCCTGACCACAATTGTCCAATCTCGGGATCGATGGTCACGGATGACTTCCGTGCTGCCTTTCCCAAATCACCAATGGATATCAGTCATGGGCTTTTTACCACACTTCATGGTAGTCTGTGTGGGTTGGTGAAAAGGGGTTGCGGGGGGGGGGAGAGAATGGCATGACCCTATGACCCTGTTCTGATATCACTCACCACTGATGTGAGTCCTGGTCGGGAATCGAACTCGGGTCGCTGGTGTCTTAGCACAACGCCAACCCACTTGTACAGAGGAGATTTTTGGCCGGGTGGATCTGATGGAAAGGCAGAGTGAGCGCGTAAGGAAGACAGGGCTGTGTTTATAATCGGTAGCGGCTGCGTGGGAACGGAAGTTAAAGCCTCTTTTTTTCGTTTCATGAAGTGAAAGAAACCACAGCCATACTGTGGCGATACGAAGTGGAAACAGAAAGTGAAGAATGTCCTTTATGTATGACGAAAACCAGTTTCGACAACATCCTACATTATATTTCGATTGAAAGCTTTTGTTATATATCATTATTTAATTATTTCCCTTCTACGTGACTTTACCGAAAGAACCAATAATATGTATCCTACATTATGTCCTGTGTTTCCACTATTCACTGTAATTGTATCACATGTGTAATTCCCACTTGAATGTATTTCTTTTATGGTACGTAGGGGTAGGGTTGTGGCTGCACAGATACCGGGCGAACCGAGTTTCATTCCCAGCCATGGCTAGAATCAGTGGTGAGCGATATCTTAGCTTGTCCCGGCCCTAGACCACACCTTCAAGCTACACTGGCCAGCATGGTGAAAAACTTAATCGGCCAGTATTGCGTACATTGCATGGGGGGAGGCCTTAATCCAGCAGTGGATTGACTTCTGAATGAACAAGACTGCAGAGAAAAAAATTAAATGATCAGTGGTTAACAGGTGTCACGTGGCACGCTATCCCACACGGCCAGTGTTGGGGTGCGGGGCGGTTGTAGGTTCCGACCACATTTAACAGGGGGCCCAATCGGTGCCCATATGTGCGGTGTCCACTTTCCCATGCATCCTGTGGGCGAGCAAGTTCCACGTCCTTTCCCTTTCGATTCCCCCCACCTGTCACTCAACGCCGAGGATGTTTGTCAGTCGCTGCCTCCTTTGCAGCCCACTAAAATATTTTGTCAAAAGTTGTTTTTGGCTGCGTTGTCGCCTGGACCTCTGCTTTCTGGCTTTCCCTGTGACTCGCTGGTGCTACTACTGACCTACTTTCATTTTACCAGGTAAGGCCCACTGAGCGGTGTAGCTCTTCAGAAGAGACCTGGCTGTCACAAATGATAGCTCAACAAAGTGGCTTATCGTGTGGAAATGTATAGCAGCCAAATACTCTAAACGCACTATTCTACATGTGGAGGGAAAAACGGGAAGACCCGGAGAAAAATCCACGCGACCACGGAGAGAGAGACACGCAAACTCCAAATATACAAGAGTCAGGGTCAGGATTGAACCCACGACCTCCTGTATACCAGGCGAGGTAGTTAACATATTGGGCTGCCCCTGGGGCTCGTTGGGTCCCGCGATTGGTTCGTCCCCAATGTGCTTGGCCTCGCTGTCTGGTCCTGGGCCATGTGCTGTGTCGCTCTCCCTCTCCTCTCCCGCTTGTCCCTGCCCTCACCAGCCCCCCCTCCTTCCCATTTCACCTCTTCCCTAATGTTGTTCCACACGTTGCTCCCCACTTGCATGAAGCCCATTGAGTTGCGGTCGCATTGAGACGATATTTAAATAGAAATTGTTGTCCTTATAATGTAAGAGCTTTAAC